ATGATCACATTGGAAATAAAAACTATAATAGCTGGTACAACGAAACATGAAGTAGTTGCAACTAACACGTTAAACCGATTTCTGTAATCCGAAAACTCACCTGCACACACAGCCTCATTGTAATTATACGAGACTGTGTATAACACAAAAAACACAACAAGCAGCAATAAAAAAACACTATTACTTAATAACCAGGTAACAATGCCAGTCATAAATTTTTTAGTCATAATAGCTTGGTATTTTAGAGGATAGAAAACAGCTAATGCTCTGTCAAAACTTATCATTGAAGCAGTATGTGATGAAGAGCAGGCACACACATAATTGAACATAGCACTTAGTCGGCAATTAATTATGCCAAAAGGCCAGAAATCCGCAGCCATAGCGACAGCAGAAGGAAATATAACAAATATTGAAGTCAGGACGTCAATGCTTGATAGGATGACAATAAGAAAATTACCAGTCTGATGGCGCAGTTTTTCCTCCCTGTATGAAACGATAATAACAGCAAGATTACCAATAAACGCTGCCGAAGCTATCAATATAATCACTGCACAAGCTGAAATTCTGAACATGAGTCCATGATGATTGACGTCGACTGAGGTTGAATTAGTGCAATCGGTAGAAAAATTCTGGAACTCTTCTGTCAAATTTGTCAGTTTCATGATTCTGGAAAGAAGAATAAATGTATGTCAACAGAAAGATTTCTTTTTAAAATTAATAATTTTCATGGATCTATATTTAAAAAATGAAAAATGAAAAAAATTGGAGGAAAAATAAAATATTGATTAAAATTAATTTCTGAAAAAGAAAACAATTATTTGTTAATGTTAGGTTAGTTAGGAAAAAAAATTCAATGTGTTTTTCAGTTCTAAAAGTGTTTAAAAGAATTTCTTTCTGAACAGGGCTTAATATAGCTACTAATTATGCTTGATGATCATATTTCTGCAAATAACTGAATTATTTACTAAATAAGTGTAAGAATAGATAAATAAAAAGGAGAATTAATAAATAAAATAAATTAAAGCAAATATATAAATATCATAAAATAAAGCAAATAAATAAATAAAATAAAAATGGCAGAAACCATTAAATGAAAACGCAAATGTTTTATTGCTGAAATGTATATTCTTTCATTGAAGGAAATTAGAATTAAATATTTTTTATCGAGTTTAATCTTTTTTTCGTTGAGTTTTTCAAAAAAAGGATTTTAATTAATTCATCTCTTGTTAAAGAGATATTAAAAAAGAAAAACAATAAAAGAGGTAATGAGAATCCTTGTTGAGCAATAATCATTTTTTCTTACAATCACAAAAAATTGATCTTGTCATTTTCTCTTATCGTTTACACCAGTGTTCCCCAACCCCCGGTTTATAGTCAAAATTAAAAATAATTGTGTTTCACTAAAAATTTATTTATTTTTGAAAAAAGGGTTTTTTTAAAAAAAAGATATTTATTAAAATTTATTTAACGTTCTAGTAAGTTAAAATGTTAAGTCACTTTATATATATA